TATTCGTTGATTAGCTCTAGTAATTTTCTGGTAGAGTCTTTAGGGTTTTCTATGTAGAGGATCATGTCATCTGCAAACAGCGAGAGTTTCACTTCTTCTTTTCCTATCTGGATTCCTTTTACTTCTTTTTCTGCCCTGATTGCTGTGGCCAATACTTCCAAAACTATGTTGAATAGTAGTGGTGAGAGTGGGCACCCTTGTCTTGTTCCTGATTTCAGGGGAAATGCTTTCAATTTTTCACCATTGAGGGTGATGCTATGCACACACATCTTATAGAGATATAAGAAATGAGTTACATACAATCAAGTCTGTTACTCTACATGTGGTCCATGGACCAGCAGCACCAGCCTCACCTGGAGGCTCTACTCCAAGCTCCCTGAGTGAGAATCTGCATTTTTAATATGTTCCCCAGAGACGCCTATACACACGATGGTTTGAGATGCACCTCTCCGGGTAACAGTGTCACCTGAGCCATCTGTGATCACAGATAGGGGATGGATACAGGATACATGTTCTGAAATGGAGTTTGAACTATGCCCTCACACAAACCAAGAATAGAAGAGATCTAGCCACAACTAGGCCCAAAGACCTAAAAGTATTGGCATCCTCCTGCAGATTAGGTTGGGTAGGCACAAGAAAACAGATCCCCCCCACCAAAAGTGAAGGAGGACGAACTGGCAGAGGTGGCCACCTTGGGAAATAGCTGAGAGTTATAAGCTCCAATTTCTTTCCACTCCCAGCTAAATGGGTAGCTAATTGACCTCAATCTCAAACATAAGAAGCAACCTCAAAATGTCTACAAGTTTATTTTAGATTTAAATTTATAGATGCAATACCTCTGCACCAAAGCAGCATTTTTCTTCATCAATGTGTTAATTGTTTAGTTGCTCAGTCATGTCCACTTCTTTGTGATCATGGGGTCACAAAGCTCCTCTGTCCATGGGGATTCTCCAGGCAAGAATACTGGAGTGGGTAGCCTATCCTTTCTCCAGCCTATCCCTTCCTGAGTCAGGAATCAAACCAGGGTCTTCTGCATTGCAGGTGGATTCTTTACCAGTTGAGCTACCAGGGAAGCCAATGTGTTAAAATCCTTCTATATTACTCTGATGTCACTATGGAGAGCATCTTTTACCCACAATACAATTAGAAAGACTATATGACATCACTAAAATCAACCAGTGGTACCCCCAGCTCTCTGTTCAGCGAATACACATTGAGCCTTACTCTGCGCTCACATGGGCCCCACCAGTGCATGTAGTTGATGCAGTCACTGTTCTCAAGGTGCTTCAAGTCTATGAGATCAAATACAATCATCACATTTCTAGCTGCTTTCATAAGTATTATTAACATTTAAACTCTGATTCATTTTTGTAACCCACACTCTATGTGATAGAACAACAGTCTATCTGTTTGCATGTCTGTGGTCGTTTTGCTGCATAAGAACACAATGAATTGATCAGAAACCTCTTCTGTGCTGTATTTTTAGGAATGGTTTCTTTCAGCTTCAATATACTCCTTCTTGTGAAAAGCCTGGAGAGTCCTCAGAGATGGCAATCGAGCACATAAATATGTAAAATTCTCCTTGAATTAATAGATCTGCTTTGAGTTTTGTTGTTGTTGTTGTTTTTTTTTTTTCCTCTTTGGCTTCTTAGAATATAAATATCTGGCAGGTTCTCTATATCTCTATCACTTAGGCCTCTTGAGGGAGAATGTGAGAACAGAGGACTACAGCATAATATCAGTAGTCTCTGTGTCTCTAGATAGCTCTGCTGGGTCTCCAAGGGCTGCAAAAGATGATTTGTCAACTTAACATCAGCTGCAGCAGTTATGGAAGAACACGGGCTTTTCTTCTAGCCCTGGATGTGCAGAGGAGCAGGCAAAGCTGGAGAACAGAGGTGCAGGTGGAAGGAAGAGGAGGGAATTTAACGCTCCCCCACATCCCTCCTTTCACTCCACTCCTGCCACAGCCCGTCCTTGGCCTGGCTTTGCATTCCTTCTTTCTCCATTTCTAAACACACGTCCTGATAGGCATTTAGGTATACTTATGTTGTTGTCCATGGGCTTCCCAGGTGGCTAACTGGGTAAAGAATCTGCCTGCAATGCAGGAGATGTGGGTTTGATCCCTGGGTCGGGAACATCCTCTAGAGGAGGGCATGGCAACCCACTCCAGTATTCTTGCCTGGAGGATTCTATAGACAAAGGAGCCTGACGGGCTACAGTCCATAGAGTTGCAAAGAGTCGGACACAAGTGACTGAACACACATGCAAGCGTGTTATTCATACGTAAAAGCAGCAACAAAACCCGGCCGTTTAGCTGAAAGGCAGGTAGAGCTTTGACCTTTGTGTTTAAAGAGATTAAACAATAAAATTAGGTGTTAATTATCACTGGATTAGGTTGGGTAGAAGATAGACAAAATATATCCTTTATATCTTGTTTGTCTTCTCCCCTTCATAGGTCCCCACTGTGTATATGTTAACTGAATCCTGCCTCCATGGAAGGGGGATAGTCCATAGACGGGTCTATGTTTCCAGCACTTAGTTCCCTAGAACCCACATCAACAAGCTCAGTTTTGTTGGGGACTCCAGGATTCATGTGTTTGGGAGGTGAGAACACATTCCTGAGCGTATTGAAAATGAGGGGTCTTCTTCAAATATCTTATTTCTGCCAGCAGCTGCCCACCACTCTCGTCTTCCCAAGGTTGACTGTGGATCCTTCATTGTCTCTTTCCAGGCATCATCAAGTATGTATTGTCATTTCTTCCCTTCAGCTTTGTTTCCTCTCCATTCTTATAACCACATCCGTGGTCCAGACTCTAGTTCTCTCTCCACTGTATTACAACACTAGCCTTCTAGCTGATCACCTGGCACCCACTCTTTCTTCAAACCTGCCTATCCCTTGAGGCTGCTGCTGCTGCTGCTGCTGCGTCGCTTCAGTCGTGTCTGACTCTGTGCGACCCCATAGACGGCAGCCCACCAGGCTCCCCTGTCCCTGGGATTCTCCAGGCAAGAACACTCGAGTGGGTTGCCATTTCCTTCTCCAATGCATGAAAGTGAAAGTGAAGTCGCTCAGTCGTGTCCGACTCTTAGCGACCCCATGGACTGCAGCCTACCAGGCTCCTCCGTCCATGGGATTCTCCAAGCAAGAGTAATAGAGTGGGGTGCCATTGCCTTCTCCCCCTTGAAGCTGATGTTCTGTAAAGACCATCTTTATGGTATTACTAATAGCTCAGAAATTCTAAGTGAAAGATGGCTGTACACAGTTTAACCCAATTGCTATGTATCTAAAAACATAAAGACCCAGAACTCAGATGGCTCTGGGTTCAAATCCAATCTACCAGCTACTGATTTACAAGCTCTCCAACCTCTCTAATCTTTAGTATTTTTTTAATTTTTTGCTTTTTGTAATATGATAAAATATATGTAACAAAATTTGCCATTTAAACTATTTGAAGTGTACCATTCAGTGGATTTAATTACATTCATATTGTTGTACAACCATCCTTCTTCAATGTATTCACTGACTTACAAGTTCTCTGAATCTATCCGTTCAAAAATTTTTATAAAGCTCAGTCTCCAGCAACTCTTCCCTGCCCAGAGATTTGGGAGGAAGGGTGAGAAGTGGGGTTGAAAGTTCCAACCTTCTGATCTTAGCTGTCTTTCTGGGGACCAGTCTGCATCCTGAAATATCTAGGAGCTCCACCCTAAGTCAATTAGCATAAACTCAGGTGTGATCAAAAGGGGCTTTTTATGAATAATAAAAGGCATTCCTATCATTCAGGAGAGTCCAAGGGTTTTGGCTGCTTTGTGATGACCAGAACAGGGACAAAGACCAAGTATAATACATAGCTACCATAACCACTATCTTTTTCCAAAGCTTTTTTCATCACCCCAAACAGAAACCCTGTACTCATTAAGCAATAATTCCTCTTTCTACCTTCCCCCTCTTTTCTGATCCACTTTCTGTCTCTATAAATTTACCCATTCTAGGTATTTCATATAAGTTGAATCATATATTAATATTTGATAATATTTGTCCTTTTGTGTTTGGCTTATTTTACTCAGCATGTTTTCAAGATTCATCCATGTTGAACATTTTATCATAACTTCCTTTATTTTATGGTCGAAGAATATTCCATTTTATGAGTATACCACATTTAAAAATTCACTCATCTGTTGATGGGCATTTGGATTGTTTTCATCTTTTGGCTATTATGCCAAGATGAATACTGGCACACAAGTATCTGTTTGAGTCCCTGTTTTCAATTCTTTTGGATATATATCTAGGAGTAAAAGTGCTGGGTCAGATAGTTATTTCATGTTTAGTTTTTTGAGGAACTACCAAACTGTTTTCTGTGGCTGTATCATTTTACATTCCTCTCAAGTAATGTATGGGTTTTCCAGGTGGCTCTAGTGTTAAAGAATCTGCCTGCCAGTACAGGAGACGAAAGAGACACAGGTTCAATCCCTGGGTCAGGAAGATCCCCTGGATTAGGAAGTGGCAACCCATTCCAGTATTCTTGCCCGGGAAATCCCATGGACAGAGAAGTCTGGAAGTTTAGCCAGCTATAGTCCATGGAGTTACAAAGAGTCAGACACAACTGAGCAATGGAGCACAAGTAATGCACAAGGGTTCCAGCATCTCTACATCCTGCCCACACTTGCTATTTTCTTTCTTACCTTTTTAAAAAAATTATAACCATTGTAGTAGGTGTGGAGCAGTATCTTGTGGTTTGATTTACATTTTCCCAATAACTAATAAGTATATTTTCAGTGCTTTTCGGGCATTTATATATTTTGTTTGGAGAAATGTCTAATCAAGTCCCTTGCTTATTCTTAAAATTGGATTGTTCCCTTTTGTTTGTCTATTTGCTGTCATTGTTGACTTTCAATTTTTTATATAGTCTAGATACTAAATCCTTCGAAATGATTGCATGTGCTTGCTCCTATTCTGTAGTTTGTCTTTATTTTTTTTTATAGTATCCTTTGATGCACAAATTTTTTAAATTTTGATGAAGTCCAGTTTAGCTATTTTTTCTTTTGTTATTTGTAAGAATCCATTGCCAAATTCAAGGTCATGATAACTGACCGTTATGCTTTTTCTATGAGTTTATAGATTTAGTTAGTTCATCTATTTAGGTTAGTGATTCATTTTGAGTTAATTTTTATGCATCAAAAATGGGCAGAAGACCTAAATAGACATCTCTCTGAAAAAGACATACAGATGGCCAACAGGAACATGAAAAGATGCTCAATGTTGCTAATTATTAAAGAAATGAAAATCAAAACTGCAATGAGGTATCACCTCACACCAGTTAGAATATCCATTATCAAAAAGTCTACAACTAATAAATGCTCGAGAGGATATAGAGAAAAGGGAACCCTCCTATTGCCTTGGTTAAAATGTAAATTGGTTCAGCCACTATGAGAACAGTATGGAAGTTCCTTAAAAAACTAAACATAAGAGTTGCCTCCCATATGATCTAGTAATCCCACTCCTGGACTTATATCCAGAAAAGATGAAAATTCCAATTGGAAAAGGTACATGCTCCCCAATGTTTATAGCAGCACTATTTATAGTAGCCAAGACATGCAAGCAGCCTAAGTGTCCATCAACAGATGGCTGGATAAAGAAGATGCAGTATGTACATACAGAAATATTTATAGGTATATGTATATATATATATACACATAATACAGGCTTCCCTGGAGGCTCAGCTGGTAAAGAATCCACCTGCAATGCAGGGCACCTGGGTTTGATCCCTGGATTGGGAAGATCCCCTCAAGAAGGGAATGGCTACCCACTCCAGTATTCTGGCCTGGAGAATTCCATGGACTGTGTGGGGTCACAAAGAGTCTGACATGACTGAGTAACTTCCACTGATGTATACACACACACACACACACACACACACATGTATATATTTTAACTCTGGCAGTGAGAGGTGCTAGAAGCAATGACTCCCCAGTAGCAATCCATTAACCTAGCGCCCAGATATTGGCTTTACTCTCTTATGAAAAGAACAAGCATTCCTGAGAGAAATGATCAGTTCTACAAAATGACCCTGAAACATCTTATAGTTCCAGAAAGATCAAACAATTCCCCCGCATAGTATGCCAAGGGTCAGCTGTTTTCTCCAGGATGAAGCCAGAGGGAACCTTGCTCCCTGCTGCCCAGAGAAAGACCTAGACTCCACACCCAAGCAATAAACCCATGGTCTTTTTCCTGCTCTCTACAATGACTCTTTGGCAAGAGTTTTGTCTTTACTTTTTTCCTAGCAGTGTGACCTAATTTTCCACCCTTCTTTGGCTCCACTTAGAAGCTCTCACCAAAACATCTGTTGAGGTCAGCCCACTGAATGTGTTTCGGATTTTATAGTTGAGCACATGGATATCACACCCTCATTCCTGGCTCTATCTACAAGGGATGTGAGGAGCAGGCCTCTCTGTCTTAAATGCAAGATGAAAATAAAGTATGTTGGGCAGAGACTGTGAAAGGCTATAATAATGAGCTTCCTTGAATGAGTTATGAATAAGTAAATGCCGATTAGTGTTTTGTACATCATGTCCTTATACAAAATAATCTTACCAGGAGGAGAAGATTTCAGTTCTGAGACCCAAAACTCACTATAAAGTGCACACACACAAACTTTCTTTGTACCACTTTTCTTACCTGCTAGAAATAGTTTATCAAATAGTACAACATTTTAAGCTTTTTATTTTGCCAATAAGGAAACTGAGGTAGAGAGTTGCCTCACCATGGCAAGGTATAAACATTATATGAAGATTTTATACAAAATCTTATTTATGCAAGATGAAAAGCCTTTTTGGGTCTTAGAAGAATTATTTATAAAGTTATAATGAACATTGGCTTTTAATAAAAATTTATTATAAAGGCTTTGGATTAGAGCCATCTGCAGTTTTTCTCTACACAGTTAGACAAGAAAAAAGATCTTTTTCTTTTCCCCTCATTCCTGGTTAACTGTGGATTATGAAGCACAGGGAGTAGAAAATTGAAGCTATGTGATACATTGGGGTCATTCTAGGGAAAAATGATACATGAAAGTCCAAACTTCCAAAACAGGTACATTAAGGGATGACTCTTTACAACTGCAGATAAATAATCTGTCTTATAAAATTAATCATATAACAACCTATATAGAATATAAAAATCTAATATATAAAAATTATTTGCATCAAAAAATTCTATATAGGCTCTATCACTAAACTAAGAAGGGGAAGTGCACGTGTACTTGGTTATAAATACAAACATTAAAAAACTCATTAGCCCTGATATGATGCAACTTCTCTTCTAATTTGTTTCTTTAAAGTTCAATTATTAAAAAAATTTCTTTAAGTATTCGCTGTGCAAGTCATACTGTAATCTTATTTGGTGTTATAAAAGAAAGACACAAAACCACAGCTTCAACAAAGTATATTTCCAAGCCATAGAATAATCTGAAATCCATATTTTACTGTCAACAGAGTTAAGTAGACACATGATGTTACTGCACAGAAACTCTTTCCTCATATCCTTGTCATCAAATTGTCATGTCGTGAGAACTGTTTCATGCCATCCTGGGTCGAGACAGTCACTGTATGTTTTTTTGAACTTTGAAGAACTAACCATCCTGTAAACCTATCACATTACATACATATTGTCAGGAGCATTTCTCAAACGTTTTGTAGTTAGAAGAAACTTCTAGAAATCCATTGGTTGATAGCAGAAAGTCAGTGCTATCCTAGACATCCCATTTCCCCTCCCTCTCTCATTACAGAGTTCAAATGGAGCCCCTCTCTCCAATGATTATGGATGGACAAAGTGATGGACAACCGAACCCACCTCAGAGGAGGGCATTTTCTTGAGACTCCAGTGCTGAAATGATAAATGGGTGGACCATTTGGCCTTCAACAAATGACAAAGAAAAAATACAACTGATTAGAGAGTACTTTCAGTTTTGTTATATGTGTGTCCGCTCTTGACCCTCTAGACATATGCAGAAAGAAAATGCATGTCACTTCTGACATTTCAAGATTAAAGTTTTGAGGACACTTCCTGTACTGGACTTCCTGCTCTTGGCAGTAGCCTGAGAGGATGCTTGCATGGCAGGAACTCACCCTCATTCTGTATTATCAACACTATTTACAATCAGACTCTCCTTAAGTCACTTTACTTTGCCAGTGTGATTCCTCATGTCTTCTTAATAGATTATCAGTACTATTACTTTTGTTTTGCCATCGCTCACTTGCATTTACTTGTTTGGAGCAGGAAAGAGGACACTTTAAACACATTTAACCAGGTCTTGGTTTGGGGGTCAGAAATGTGCTTCAAGTCACACACCAGCCTGCAAACATCTGGTGTCCCAGATGGGAGTAATAACAGCTCTGCTCTTATTTTCATTACTGTATTATGGAAGATGTTCGCTGCTTTCCTCCTCGGTGAGTTTAATTCACACCAATATTTTAAGGAAGATTAGAAAAAAATGGAATGAAAGAAAACATTTCTGACAGCAAAGAACTAGGTTTTCATGTTCCCATCATATAAAAAAATTCCGAGATAATTATAGTGTATAACAGATCTTTAATGCTTATTTTGTGAATCAAATCAACTCTGTATTATTTTCTATGCTGAAGCTCAACACTCACCGCAGAAATGCCATATTTTTAGCCCAGCTATAGGTTTTATGTTTTTCTTCTAAAATGATTTTCCCCGGTGAAATAGTTTTTGTAAAACCAACTGAAAATCAAGCAACATCACAGAGCTGCTTTTTCGTTCCATGTCATCATTCAGCCTCACTTGAAAGATTGTCATTAACAGCTGCCCCAGCTGCTGCATCACCAGCCATTTCAACAGCTGCACTAGGGATGAATCGTGTTATTTTATTTCTTGCTTCTTCTCTAAGAGCATTTTCAATAATGTTGCCCAAATTTGCTATCGGGAAGAAGTCAAGGACTCACAAGCAGACTATCAGCTCCTGACTGAAAGGGTTTCTCAGGGGGAGTCACAGAATCACAGATGCAAAGCCTAGCAACACCAGTATAGTTATCTCCATCTGAGAGCTGAAGCTAGGGGCAGAGTCAGATCTGAACCAGTGCTCCTGAGGACTAGACCAGCAAGTGCAAAGTGCCATGAGCACTAGGGATTTTGTCCCTTTTGTCAACTAATGTGTGCTAACCCTCTAGAAGAGTGCCTGGCACATGGTGGGCACTCAAGAAATATTTACCAAATCAGTGTATATCAGCTTCTTGATCAAGGTTATAAGCCAGTTGGGAATCATACTGGACTTCCTCATGTGGCCCTACATTATCAGGGTTGGCAACATGAGTTAATGAAAAGTGTGCCCAGAGGTGGTAGCTCTTAACTGGGTCATTTACTTGTGCTTTCTCAGCCAAGTACTTTTTTTTGGATGTGTTTCCAAAAGCAAATAACTCAGAAGCTTAAGCTGCCTAATCTGTACACTGAGATAATATTGGACCTACCTATTTCATAGGGCTTAATGCCTATCAATTTAGATAGTGTATGACAAACTTTAAATGTTGGAGGGTATTGTTACTATCAGCAAATGGACTCTGACATGTAGCCATTTTATGACTGCAGAAAAGTTTAGGCAGGAGCTCTGTGGCAGAAGCAAGCTCTCCAATGTGATAAAAGGCCCTCATCCAGGGCATGCTGGGAGCCACGACCTGGTCCACTCCTGAGCTGAAACCAATACAGTAAGAGCCAAGGAAACTAATGCAACCCTTAATGAGCTCCAAAGTGTGCTGGAGGAGCTGCGTAAGAGAAGCAGTCAAGAAAAGGTCAGGACTGGGCAGAAGTTCAAGTTAGTTATCCCAAGTATGGGATGTTGAGGATACATTTATAATAGCCAGTCCAGATAGTGGATTAAAACTTAGTGCTGAGAATTCTGGGTGGATTTGGGCATCAGAAGGGCTTCCCAGGTGGTGCTAGTAGTAAAGAACCTGCCTGCCAATGGAGGAGACTGGAGTTTGATCCCTGGGTTGGGAGGATCCCCTGGAGAAGGAAATGGCTACCCACTCCAGTGTTTTGGCCTGGAGAATTCCATGGATGGAGGAGACTGGTAAGCTATGACCCAAAGAGCCATAAGCTATGGTTACAAAGAGTCGAACACAACTGAAGTGACTTAGCACATAGTACATGGTCATCAGTATCCAGAGAAATCTAGGTCTTTGGTAGACAAATCAATTCCTCGAACTATGTTCATACATTTGGAAACCAGGGCTAGATTTAAGAGAGGGGAGCTGGCAGATCCTATAAGAGGGGACAGAAACTAGGATTCTGTTGATGCCAGGATACAAATGTAGCAGAAACTGGCATAGAAGGACTAGATAGGCAGAGTTATCTTATGCTGGCATAGAAGGAGACTACAACACAGTCCTTGTGAGATATCCAGAATTTCGTCTACTCCAGATACCTAGACATCACATATTCTTAATGTACCAGCCGACCTGGGTGGGGCTAGGCTCACAGGGGCCCAACAGCCTTATTGGTAGCTCAGGTGGGACGGGCAAAATTCTCTGATAGTTAGCACTAGGTCTAATGGTAAGAAAGCTATTTTTTAAAAAACTTTAAAGACCGTTGCTTTTGGTATGAAGAGACAGGAGACCGCAGTTATGGACTAACCACAGATGTACTTCGTGACATCTTAAGACAAAATTATGAAGGCATATCTACAATTTTCCAAGTGTTTACTCAAAATAAAAAGACATCAAGCAGTCAAGGCCATAGCTATAGGCCAAGGAACAGTGCTTGTCTGTACACTCTGTTTCCCCAGCCCTGTCCCTTTTGAGTCACCTTGTCCATAACCACCCTGCTGACGGTCAGAGACGGAGATGACGGACAATCAAATGTGGTTCACGGCTGTTCCCCACGACTCCTTCTCATGCCCTCTCCATTCCAGTTCTACTGGGAGCCTCACACTTGACTTTATTTCCCATTCCAGCTCTCTTGGTCTTCAGTGTTGACAACTGACCTTTTTCCTAGCTAGACCTCAGCATACTCCAAGGACTCTGGCCTTCTCAGCCTCTGGCTCAATTCACCCCTGGATGTCTCAGGTGGAAAACTTTGCTCAAGATCTGACTCGAGGATCTAAACTGGCCTCCGCTGACTTGACCAGCATCCGGATGGACCTCCTCCAGCCACCCAAAGAAGTAAAACTTTGTCATCAGCCTGCTCTATACCAAAGCCTCCCCACTGGGTCTTGCGGCCACTGCTGTGAGAGACCTTAGAGAAAACCCAGAGCTTGTAGGAGAGCTGTTTGTTCAGAAATGGAAGAAAATACCAAGCCCAGAGGAGGCACGGAGCCAGAAACAGCCCACCAGCTGAGACATCCTCCATGTTACCTCCAGTGTCTCACTGTCATTTTAAATCTTCTTTTCACACTCATCCCTTTGAAATCTGTAAGTGGTTCAAGGAAAGTTATGAAATTTTCAGTCATTCACCTTCTCCAGTAGAATAGCTTGACACAGTTGCTTTTCTCCCAATATCTAGCAAAGGGCACTTGTAAGAGTAAATGTGTGGTGTGTCTGACTGTGAAAGTGAAAGTGTTAGTCACTCAGTCATGTCCAGCTCTTTGCGATCCCATGGACGCGAGCCTGCCAGGCTCCTCTGTCCATAGGATTCTCTAGGCATGAATACTGGAGTGGGTTTCCGTTCCCTTCTCAGAGGAGCTTCCTGACCTAGGGATCGAACCCTGGGTCTCCTGCATTGCAGGCAGATTCTTTACCAACTGAGCCACCAGGGAATCCCTTGTCAAGCTATGAGAAGAAGGTGAAATAATTGAAGATCTTTGAAGGCCAGGAGAAACTCTCTTGAAATAGCCGGTGACACTGGGGGGAGGGAGTGAGGTCAGAGGAGCGCTAAGGACACCTGGGACTAGGGCTCAGGTAGAGCAGGAGGCAGAGGAGGGGTATAAGAAAGGGGACACCAAGCTTTCTTTAGTTGTCACTGCTCCCCCAAATTTTGCTTTGGACCAGCTATGACTCAGGAAGGAGGTGATAGTCTCCTCCTCTCATCTCACTTCCTGTTCCTGAGATCAGAGTCCAGACTGATATAATTATTATCATTTGCAAGTGAGCACCCATTTTTTTTTTACTTATCAAATTTGGACTAGATAACATTTCCAGTGGTTCAAAATTCAAGCGGTACTGAAGTCACCCCCACGAAGCCACTTCCACGTGATGGAGGCTCCTTCTAGGGCTGAAAAAATCCTTAATACAAGTAAGTAAACACACTTACTCTCTCTTTTTTTTAGGCTATTATTTTAAAAGTCATAGTTCGGGAACAGTAAGCTAATATTGGCTTTGGGGCCTGCCAGGAAACCTGACTATCAACTCTTAACATTTTTTTTTTCCCCAAGAGAAATTATATTCTCAGAACCAAATAATCAACCTACAGGTACATTTCTAGAACCAAGCACATTCATACTCTGGAGGTTTCCTGTTTAGATGTATATGAAGCAGTGCTGAATAAGCAGAGATATGAAGAATGTGGCAGTGGAAAGTGAAAAATGCCTGTATATGCCAAATTAAAGTTTTCTGTGATTTTTTTCTTCCTCCCAAAAAAAGTACCTTCAAGATGGGCTTTTAAGAAGACAACATTTATTGAGCTTAAGGGCTGATAAGAAGTGAGAGTGGCAAGAAACCTTCTTATGTTATCAACAGTCTCCTTCTCAGGCTAAATAGTAGAGATCTCGATGCAAGGGGTTCGAAGGCTGCTCTCACAAACCCGTTCCAACTGGCTCACAGCTGTAGATGGTTTCTGCATCCACAGATGGAAATCCATTAATTTCAGGCTCTCATATGGGCCACACCTTAACTGAATAAGGGGCCAAATGTATGCATTTTGTATATGGTGTTTTTCTGGCACAACGTTTGTGTGAGTTATGTTTACATGACAAAGTGAAGCAAGTATGAGTGTGTGATGATCACT